TTCAGCAGCAGCACTGCATTCTGCCTTGTCCTTACTTCTTTGCTACTGCTGTATATGTAGATAGCCCTTCTTTGCCCTCTTACATCCAGCATCTCAGTTTCAGCTCTGGCTGACTTCACCAGTCCCAATACTGACCCCTGAGGAATGCCAGCTTTTCGGTGTCTTTGTCAGCATCTTTGCTGGTGACATGGATGATGGCATTGTGTGAACCCGACGACACCAAGCTGTGTGGTGCTGTCAACACTCTGGATGGAAGGGATGCCATCCAGAGGGACCTAGACAGGCTGGAGAGGTGGGCCACTGCCAACTGCATCAAGTTCAATATGCGTGGTCTTTTGTCCCACTGACATGTTCATCAAAGCTCCGCTTTCGGAGCTTTGATGAACATGCCTTCCAGTAGGGAAATTTTTGTGTGCCCATAAATTGATTTGCTTATGTCATGCAAAAGAAGTCGGTTGTCATTGTGACTGACCAGCTCTTCTTGTGGCTCTTTGGCCAGACATCCTGGCAAAGTGAATGTGTCTTACAGACCGTGGTGTTTGACCATGTGGGAGCTATGGGTATTAAATTTCTTTTACAAGGTGTATTCTCAGCTACGCTTTTGTTGTTCTCTTGAAGTGTCATTCTACTTTAGGGCATGTGTTACCTTTTCTTTTTTAGCTCTGCTCTAAGAATTTATCTGTACCCTGCCTTTCTCATTCCTCTGATTTGGGGAATGGTAGCGTTTTGAATTTGTTACAAGGTGTAGTGTATTCAGACTGCACTAGAGAAGGTAATTGGTGTCATTGCTCTGGTTTCTTTTAAAACATTCTCTACTACTCGAGTTTCTTGTCCCCAAGGCTTTGAGGTTTTGTGATCTGTATTTTTTTTTCTTTTTTATTTATGAATAGGTTATTAAGAAGAAAGTTTGTTCTTTTGAATCCTAGGTTCCAAAAGAGAAAGATGAAATGGTGGAGCAGGAATTTAATCGTTTGCTGGAAGCCACCTCCTATCTCAGTCATCAGCTGGATTTTAATGTTCTCAATAACAAGCCTGTCTCCCTAGGCCAGGCTCTAGAGGTTGTTATACAGTAAGTGATTTTTCTCTCTGTGGTAGACTTTCTTATTTTGTGGGGGATTTTCCAACTGAAACTATTGTGATGCTCCTAGCGCAAGCATTACCCACTCAATACAGCTGTTTGGTCTCCGCCGGGTTCTTGTTTGTGCATGTGTTTCTTGATTATTGAAGCAAAATATGATAGATGGTTAAAGAAGCAAACATCTTTTGAAAGCTTCCTGAAAATCACCACTCCAGTAACTGATGGTGGATAATTGACTTAGTGTGCGTTGGTGTACATACAGCCCACTTACACAACTTGAAGGCTAAAGGCATTGGTAAAGTGCCTTTTAATAATAGTAGATAACTTCAGACTCATGTTTTAGCTAGTCAAGTGTCCTTTTTTTACAGAAACTTGTATTAATTTTCTAACTGCCATACAAGTATTTACTAAAATACCTCATGAAATGTGCTTTTATTGAATTACACTAATTAGATTGTGGTGATGAGTTTTCTCAGGATTTTATGCTGAACTGACTCTTGCTTCTCACCTTTTCCAGATTGCAGGAGAAGCATGTGAAGGATGAACAGATTGAACACTGGAAAAAAATCGTGAAAACACAGGAGGAATTGAAAGATCTTCTTAACAGGGTCAGATGGTGACACTTGGAACGAGAGTATTGTGTTCCTTAGAATCAAAATGTTTTAGCACTGGTCTTAAATGTATCTGTTCAATTAAGACCTGCCTAGAAGCACTGTTATGACAAAAGAGTCTCCATTTTTGAGAAGGAGCACATAAGTGACTAGGCAGAAGACTGTAAAAAGTATGGGAGAAGAAAAGGAGAGGGCAGACATGATAAGCATTGTGCCATAGCTTCCTTTAGAGATGTTGATAATGATGGAGGCTTTGGGGACCTTATTTTAAAATATTTACTTTCTTTACCACAAATCTGATTTGTAGTGTAGAAACAGTGTTTTTGGCCTACTTGCAGTGTTTTTGGTTGTGGTGGATGACATCTACTTCTCCATGGAAGGACAGCTGTCAGATTATTATTTGCAACATATTTTGTAAGAAATCAGTGATGCTGGGTTTAAGCCATGTTGTTTGGGGGTTGGTGGTATTTATTGTGGTTTCTTGGAGGTAGAATTGCATGTAGGTAACATCTGCCAAAACCAGGACACCTCTTTGGTATAATGGCAGTGTTTGAGATGAATATCTGTTTTACACAGTAACTTGCATGTGATCTGCCTTTCCTCATATTTCCCCTCGCCCCCCTTTCTTTTTCCCTCTTCCTGTTCCACCTGAAAAAGATGGTGAATTTAAAAGAGAAGATTAAAGAACTTCATCAACAGTATAAGGAAGCATCAGAAGTGAAGCCACCTCGGGATATTACCGCAGAGTTCCTTGTGAAAAGCAAACACAGAGACCTGACTGCGCTTTGCAAGGTGAAGCATGACATACTTACAGCACTAAGTCACTGGTTTCTGAGGACTTAGGCAGCCAGGCAGCCAGATAAAACTACCCAATATAAAAGTTTTCACATCTCTCACTCCTATCCAAAACTCTAAAGAAAATATGATTGATGGTAACTCTGTGTTGTAATATTGATAAAGGTACTCAATGCAGCCCTGTTAGGTACCTGTGTTTCTTGGCTCATGATAGAGAGCATTAACATGTTGAAGGTTAATGCTCAGGTAACAGTCTGTGCTGGTTTACGTCAGACAGCATTTAATGTTTTGAAGGCTAAATTTTAGGTCAGACTTGGTCTTTAGTCCTGCTGGTTCTTAGAATAGTCTAGAAATAAAATCTGTATTTGAAGAGAGGTGCATTTTCTCTAAGATAGAAAAAGGTGGTTTCCTGAATAAAAGACTTCTTTCTATACAAAGATATAATTTACAGTGCTATATTTTGATAAGCGGTGTTGGTCCTCCCCTCTTTGCATATCATGATGTAGAAATACGCCTTAAAAAGGAAACCTTTTTGTTTCAGAAAATCTGTTCTGACTATGATAGTGAAAGACACCTTGCTAACCCAAGTGAGAGAGAACCAAGGATCATATTTCAGCTCTTTGTGCAACAGAAGATAGGTAGCTTTATTTGGAAGCTGAATGTGTTTGTGTATACATAAGTAGTAACTCTTCTGTTTTGTCAACAATTAATATCTTTGTGCTCTTATAGCTATTGTTAGACACCCCCAAGTTACACTGCAGTTAGATCGTGTTTGCCTTCTGCATGCTTTGGAAATCTCTATGCTCAACATTATAATCTTTTAAGAAAGAAAAATAGAAATAACATTTTGTGCAAAATGAAAAACCTCTCAGTACCATAGGAACCCTTAAAATACTAGGACTGTAAGGGACCTTCATTTTCTTCAGATTTGAGTGTTTAAATTCCTGAAATAGTAGCATAGTAATGTTTTCTGCAGTGTGGCAAAACACCTGTATATTTGAACAGCAGAAGGGCAAAATAGGCTGGATTAAATGTTGAAAAACTAAAGAACTTGATTTAGATTCCACTAAAACCATGAATCTTCCACTGACTTCTTCTAGATTAGGTCTAGTCTGATGCTACATGATGTCTTTTGAGCTGCTTTACATGTAAACTGATTTTAATGTTGGCTTTTAATCTCATTAGGAGTATGATGAATTGGCAGAAACACAAGGAAAGCTGGAAGAGAAGTTGCAAGAACTTGAAGCCAATCCACCAAGGTAAAGATACAAACCATTAAAAAAATACTCAGGAAAGCAGATTTTTTAATACTTTTCACTGAGTTTCAAAAATGCTGTAGTATGTTTTATTTTAATTATGGTAACTTAAGGGGCTAGGAAGGTACAAACACAAAATTTGAGCTCCCTCAGCTTTAGAACTCATCTTCCTTGGCTTTAGAGGTGACTCAGATATAAAACGTGTTTCTTAGCTCAGATGCGTTTCAGTAGAAATCCTTACTGTAACAAGTACACAATCCACACTGTAACAAGTGTGGTCAGCAGGTCGAGGGAGGTGATTCTGCCCCTGTACTCTGCTCTGGGGAGACCCCACCTGGAGTGCTGCATCCAGCTGTGGAACCCACAACATCACAAGGATATAGACCAGTTGGAGCGAGTCCAGAGGAGGCCATGAAGATGATCAGAGGGCTGGAGCACCTCTCCTGTGATGAAAAGCTGCGAGAATTGGGCTTGTTCAGCCTGGAGAAGAGAAGGCTCCAGGGAGACCTTATAGCACCTTCCAGTGCCTGAAGGAGCCAACAAGGAAGCTGGGAGGGGACTTTTTGCAAGGGCCTGTAATGACAGGACAAGGGGTAACGGGTTTAAATTCAAAGTGGGGAGGTTTAGATTAGATATCAGGAAGAAGTTCTTCCCGGAGAGGGTGGTGAAGCACTGGAACAGGTTGCCCAGAGAAGCTGTGGATGCCCCATCCCTGGAAGTGTCCAAGGCCAGGCTGGATGAGGCTTTGAGCGACCTGGTCTAGTGGAAGGTGTCCCTGCCCATGGCAGGGGGGTTGGGACTAGATGATCTTTAAGGTCCCTTCCAACCCAAACCATTCTATGATGCTCTGATTTTAAATGCCTGATTCCAGGAAGCCTTGGAGATTTGAAATCCCCATCAATAATGATAGCATACCAATCCTGCTTCTTTTGGCAGAAAATTATTATTTTGTGCTCTGTGATTATACTACATTTTAGTCATCATCTTTATACATGCTAATTAAGTCATTATTTATATAAGCTTTTATTTCTAAAGTTACGTTTCTAACTTCACTTAGAATATTTTACATGGACTCGGCTTTGAAAATGTGAATTTGCTGGGTTTGATATTCAGCATTCATGAAGCAGTCTGACTATTTGAAGCAGGATCTGCATGTGTTGTTCTGAAATTTTTTTTTTTTCTCCACTAAGGAGAGATTCAAACAAAGTTTATGAATAGATTTTCAAAAACAATGCATTTGCATTGCATTGCATTGCACCCTACTATAGCAAACTAAATGTCTTTGTGTTGTGTTTGTGTTTTTTCTAGTGATGTTTATCTGTCATCAAGAGACAGGCAAATACTTGACTGGCATTTTGCAAACCTAGAATTTGCTAACGCTACACCGCTGTCTACACTTTCGCTGAAGCACTGGGACCAGGTAGCTACTTCATGCATCCAGCAGTACACTGAAAACTGAAGTTACATCTATTTCATTCTCATGGAAGCTTCTCAGTGTTAATACTTCAGTGCTGTTTGCTTTTATACAGATACTGAGCTCTGACATGATTATTATTTGCTGATGAAATTCCAGACAGCTTTTTATTAGTGTCAGAATAATCTCTGACAATACTGTGAACTGAAAGGTCATAAGTTCAACTTATTACTTGACTGATAAACAGAAAGGATTTCAAATTGGTCTGACTCACTCTTTGAAAAAAATTATTTGAAAATAATTTTGCCGTTATGTGGGGTTGGTCATTATTTTCTGTTGAATTATGTGATTTCATTATAAATGAATGCTTTTTATGTATCTTCATTTTAGGATGATGACTTTGAATTCACGGGCAGTCACTTGACTGTGAGGAACGGATATTCCTGTGTGCCTGTAGCCTTGGCAGAAGGGTTGGATATTAAATTAAACACTGCAGTTCGACAGGTTCGCTATACAGCATCAGGTAAATGAAGCCACCTTCTCCAGAAAACTGCTCTGAGGGAATAAGATCATAGAAATTAATTTCATTGCATCTGGAGGCAGATGTGAAGCTTGATCTCCTAAAATCCCTGTCATTACACATTTTGGGCTAACCAGCCACGTTTGGTATTATGACTAATTGTGTAGAAAGCTGTTAGAGACATTAATGCTTATTGCTTATTTCTGTGGCTGGTTTGACACCGTCCTTTTCAGTTGTATTTACTGATTCACAACTTCACATTCATTGTTTCATTTCTTTCCTTCATTGATTGAAGTGTTTGAAGTAAGAGGTCTTGGACTGCTTAAGACTTGGGCTTGGGATACTGTCAACTGGGAGAGCAACTCAATGCTCACGCTCTACTTGCCATATATTTATGAGTACGCCTGAGGAACCTGAAGGTGCAC